AGCCGCAGCTGACGCCACGACTGAAAGACTACGGTCGCGAAATGGCCACTCAAGGTCTGAAACCAGCCCGAATTCGCATGGGTATGGCGCGGCGATTCGGGTTATCCGAGGCGGATATGCCAACTCTGCGCCAAGTGCAATGGTTCATCAGCCACTACACGAAGAAGACGCTCCACTGAAATGATGACCACGACGTGATCCTGGGCCAGATCGACCAGTTGGCGTATGGACCCGACGTATCCGACACGAATCCTTTTTCTTTTGGGTGGGAACGTGACGGCCGCCGGAAACCGGATGTCGGCAACGGCTCTGACGAAAAACCGTTCTTGGTGGGTTTAACTACGAAGCGCTTGCTGCATAATGCAGCCCGCGATCCCGGAACATTCGTGCTCCACATGGATGCCACCTTCAAGCTAAACCAAGTGGCGTATCCTGTCATCGTCTGTAGAGTGTCCGACAGATGTCGGTCCTTCCACTTGGTTGCTCTGTTCATCACTTTGCAACGATTGGAGAGGCTGTACGTGAAAGCGCTGTCATCTCTTCGCAGAGTGTTCACTGCTGTGACCGGCCAATAGCTGCTGGTCAAGTACGTTATGGCAGATGCTGAAGCCGGGCAACAGAACGCCGTGAACCAAGTGTTCGGTGTGGATTCCGACTACGTATATCTCATGTGCTTCTATCACGTGATGGCCAAGGTTCATGAAAAGCTCAAGGGAATACCGGACAGCTTGTACAAGGTTGTGGTCGCGGATATCTACGACCTTCACTTTGCGTCTTCAAAGGAAGTGTATGACGAACAAATGCAGATTGCACTGGAGACGTGGTCAAGCCAAGAGCAGTTGGCCGGGTTTCGGAGCTACTTCAACAACATTTGGATGAAGAGCGAGTTCTGGCGGTGGCAGTGTTTTCACACACTAAGTGGATATGCCACCACGAACAATCCGGTGGAACAGTTCAACCGCTTGATCAAACGTAATTACACACTTCGTACCAAGCACAAGATTGGTACCCTTCTCCAACTACTTGCGGACTGCTGTGGACATCAATCGGTTACGCCAAGAACGTTCAAGATAATGCCCGATTCCTCGCAACAGCTGAAAGCTCGAGTTAAAGATTTTCGTCAGCGTGACCTTCTCGTGGACATGACTCCAAAGCGGACCAGCATCGACTTCTTGCTTGTTTCCCCCAACCCAGACGTTGTTCGTGTGCTGTCACGTGGTTGTCACCGCGTGTATCTGCCTGAGTTGGGCCGCAGTCGCGAAGTGGCACCTGTTTCAGCCCAGATGGGATCCAACTACGGGAGGATGAAGCCAGAAGGTCATCCTGAAGGTGGATGGAACGTTGACGTAACGACGATGTCTTGTGGGTGTAAGTACCATTTCAAGTTTGCTGTATGCATTCATGTCCTATTTGCCCTACAGGTAAAGCCCTACACCGGCTTAGACGGTAAGCGGACTCTAGTCGACCGTTCAGCCTCAAGAAAGCGACGTCGAACGCGTACTGGTAGTGCACGAGTCCCAGCTGGTCGGCCACGGACTAATGGTCACGCACTCACCACTGATTGAGGATACATGTAACTCAAACAGAACCATAAAAATTTACAATACATTGATACTTCTTGTTTGTTTTTCGTTTCATCCATTTCCATTGTGACTACTTTTGGATAAATCCCAGCTCTAAAAATACTAATAACCGAAAGCAACAGTCGCTTTGCTGCTTGTTTAAATGGTATTCTCGATTATCTCTTCGAAATGGCAAGTGCTAACGTTGGCCAAGCTCCTCCCAACGCTTTCTTCGCGTTTTTCGAATGGTGCCAAGGGCACCTCAGTCAACGTGGGTGAGGTCGCCTAGATGAGGTTGCCGCCCGCTATGTGAGGAACTGGGCCCTCATCCAGCGAGACGACACCTCAAGTCCCAGTGACGCAATCAAGCGGTGATTGATGCAGTACCGCAATCCCGCATCACCAAGGCTCGTCTCATTGAGG